TTTAATAATAATTGAATTTAGTTGAAATAAATTTAATTTTAAGGGTATTATTAACCATAAACATAAAAATATAAGGGTAAAATAGAAAAGTAAAGACATGAGAATAAATGAGGGAATATTAGACTTAAAGCTAAATATATTGTAGATTACCAATGGTTCACACTGGTAGCAACTTACTTAAAGTCCTTAATATTTTCTCATTATAATAGTACGTCCTTAACGATTTTTTTATGTCATTTTTATCTTCAAACATTTCATTAGATAACACATTTTGTATTTTATAACAATTTTGTGTCCAAAAATTAGTTGAAATGATGTAAAATAACTTATTTTTCATCATATTTTTAAGAAAATAAATAAATGAAAAGTGCAAAAAAATATTTTTTCCTCATTTCAGAACACGATTATTTTTTTGTTATAAATTATCATAAAAAATGATTATTAATGAAAAGTTGAATATAAGAATTCGATATAAAAAAGTTAAGAAAATAATTGATATAGCCCTCGTTTGTTTCCCATTATTTTCTCATTAAAATGAAAAATATAATCGTTGTCACATAGAACCACAAAATTTGAATTTTTATCTATTGTGTGGAGTCCGTAATGACTATATTTTTCATTTTCATTCTTCCAAAAATGAGAAACAAACGGGGCCATAATGAGCAAAGATTGAGGAGTTTGACTGTAAATAAAAATGGGGTGGAAATATAATCACTCTATTTTTAACTATTGTGAAAACGTGGAATTAATTGTTTCAATGATCACTGAATTTATGTCCATATCTTTGATTGGTTACTAAAATTTAAAACGTCAAGGCTTGGTCATTGAACTTAGATCCATGTCTTCGATTGCTCACCAAAATTTAAAATTTCCAGTTTTGACCATTGAACCTTGACAAATGCAGTACGTTACTTACTAGCATAAATGTTAAATTTTGAAAAATATTAAGTTTTATGGTGAGTAATGTACATTTTTCAAGGTTTAGTGGTTAAAACTTGACGTTTTAAATTTTAGTGAGCAGTTGAAGATATGAACTTAAAATTAGTGATCAAAATTCGATATTTTAAATTTTAATCTCTAATTAAAAATATAGATCTAACTTCAATAACTATTGAAACAATTAACTCGAAAAAGTGATGCTTGACCAAGTCTTTAATACCCTACACTACTTTCCTCTGCATTCAAGAATCTCCCTGCCTATACCAAGGAAAATCGGAAGAGCAAAAAGTGAGAAACTTGAGAAAAAAAAAAATGGATGCAGAAACCCAACAAAAAGTCGAGGAAACGGTGTTGGAAATTTTGAAAAATTCAAATATGGAAGAAACAACGGAGTACAAGATCCGGAAGTCCGCATCCGAGAAGCTGCAAATGAATCTGTCCGACCCGACTTGGAAGAAGTTCGTTAGACAGGTAGTGGAGTTGTACCTTCAGGAACAACAGGCTAAAGCAGAACAACAGGAGGAAAAGGAGGAGGAGGAGGAGGAAGAAGAGGAGGAGCATAATAAAACAAGAGGCGGAAAAGAGTACGATGATGAGGGTGGCTTGATAATTTGCCGAGTGAGTTTTATTATGGATTAATTTTGAAACTAATTTTTATTCGGCATTCGATTTTGTGTATATTACTGATTGATAAAGTTTGTTTTATTATGAGGTAGTTTAAGCTTTGGGTTTCTGGGTTGTGTACATTTATAATTTCAAATTTTTTGGGTTTTAGCACGGTATGAACCCTAAGGTTGTGGTCAATTGTGCAGAGTTCACAGCTTTTATAGTAGAAACTATGAGGACAAAGAAAATTGAGTTTGAACATATTTTCCGTTTCTGAGTTCAGTTTTGAATCTTGATTGAATTCTGTGCAAACAAATAAAGGGCGGGGTTACAGTGAACGCATTGAATTTAAAGTTCCGGGTTTTGTTAGGGATTAAATTTGTTCAGTCTCTGGACTATGTTTTATTGGTTTTTTTAATCTAATTGACAAATTCACTACTTCGTTTATTTGCACGGAACTAAAGGCTTGCCATTGAAATTGAATATTCAGACTCCAATTTGAAAACACTACCTCAATGTTAATATGAATTGCTTAAGATATAAATCGAATTATATGCTGCTTGATTGCGATAGGCATTAGCCTCCAAGTATTTTGGCAATTCTAAATTCACAAGAATGGTATTTGATCCTCTTTTCTTTTTCACATTTCCCTTTCCTACAGATTCTTATTGATTGCCTATTGTTTTTCATTATGTTTTGGTACAGTTGTCTGATAAGAGAAGGGTGACAATATCTGATTTTAGAGGGAAAACTTTGATATCAATTAGGGAGTATTACAAGAGAGACGGTAAAGAGCTTCCAACAGCTAAAGGTAATTGTTTCATTTGGTAGCTTTTACTATAAGAAATTTCTGAATTACTTTGCATTTCAGTACTGATGCTATTTCTTTCCCAACGATTAGAAATTTTAATCTTTGTTTCCAAAATACTTGGCTTCTATCATAAATCAAAATGTTAATGTAGTTTTCTGGTGAATCCCTTATTATAAGCTTTTTGGTAATGAGATATTTGTGGAGTTACACGAAAATGATTAGTTTTCTAAGAGCTTCGCGAATTGTGTTAAGTGGGTTTATATATATGAGAAGCCAAAACAAGATGGTTGTTTCTGGTAAGAAGTTCTGATATTGAGCCTAGACAAGATGGTTTTCCCATTCAAAATTATAAATTCAATATGAGATATGCTCGCAACATCCCTGGTAGTCAACCCCCAAAACAATTGCCGAGGTCCTCAGTCTGAATGCAAGAGCTGGATATCCGTGTAATTCACCCATCTTATTTGCTTGTTTGGTATATAAATTTATGGGTCCAATGATGTCATTATACAGGGCTTGTTTGGGTGCTTCTGCTTTTTGTAAAAGAGTTTTGTTAGGAAGCTTCGTTGGGTCAGCTCTTCTAAAAGCATTTCCAATGGTGGTGTAAAATTGGATATAAATTGGTATCTCCAAAATTACTTTTGCATCCTTATTTATATCTCGGCGAATCTAAATTCAAATTTTGTTCAGATGCGAAGACCTAAATCCACTTTTTGCCAGTTGTGGATGTAAATAAAATGTAAATTTACATATTTTTTTAAATTTTCTGCCGGAAAATACAATATGCATTTCCTTTGCATCTCAAGAGGGTCTTTTGTTATTTTGGAGATCTAAATTATAATTTGGATCTATTTTACACCATGGTTGGAGATGCTCTAACTAGACAAAGCATTTCCTAAAATTATCCCTAAAAACTGTTTCTTTTAGTCTTAGCTTTTGGTTTTTCAAAAGCTTCTATTTCTCAAGATTGGAGAGCATGATTAATGAGAGCATCAGTACCTGTTAATGATAATGAGATCCTTAAATACTTTGTTGGCTGAGTTTAATTCCTAAGCATCATGGTTTAGGGTCTTAATATTGACCTAATCTTATTTCAGTGTTTCCCGAATTTGATAGGAGTGTCCTCGAGCATAATGGCCTTGGTTATGCTACATCACTTCACTTGTTAGTTGCTGCATACATATTTTTTCTATTTATTTTTGTTGTGCTTTAGTTGAAGCTTGTTTCTTCCTCCTATTGTGCAGGAATAAGTCTGACAGCCGAGCAGTGGTCATCCTTCAAGAAGAATTTACCTGCAGTAGAGAAGGCTATCAAGAAAATGGAGTCTTGGTGAACTGAATATGACATTATAGACTTGTTTGTGAATCAATCATTGGCTCTGTTTTTGGGGGTTTTGTAATTGCTCTTGTGGATCTTACCCTTCATCTGGTTTTGTGCATCAACTTTATTATGTAATATGTATTGCAATCGTTATAGATAAATGATCTTCTTCATGTTGCTCTCAATGGTATGCCATACTGTATCATGCCTAAACCTTTGCTACTAATAGTTCCCTAGCAGTTCCTCGGAGTTGCCTTTTTTGGTTCTTTTAGTTTGTTGAGAGTTGGTTTTATAAGTTGGTTTGACCAATTATTTGACTGGGTTCCGCTAGTTGGACAAAATATTCTTTTGGCCGAGTGTGTTGTGCTCAGCAAGTAGATTAATTTAGTATATTTATTTTTTCAAAATCAATTACAGATGAATAAAAAAATGAAGGTCGGGATGTCACTTGAAATTGAAATAAATTGAGAAAAAAATTCTGACATCTCGAAACCTATGTATCGAATGTTACTTAAATAATAACTTTAACCATTATAAATGTTGATCAACACATTATAATATATAAAAAAAAAAATTGAAGAAACGTTGCGGAAATAAATTAAACTATTTTATTGTCTCATAAAAAGTCATATAAATTCAAACCACTGATGGAATATAAATTTAACACTTAATTTTAAAAATTCAACATTGATTTTGAAGGAAAAAAATAAAATTCTAATTAGAATAAAAGAAAGCTTTTTAACTAAATATAAAATATTGAAAGAAAATTGTAAATTCTTGATCTAGCAACACGGACTGTGTCAGCAGTCTCAATTTCTAACTCTGATCCATTAAGTATCTGTAAAAATAATTTCGAATATGGGATGAGCATATGAATATACTCAGTATAGATTTCAAGTCACTATTTTCACAATTTAATATAAAAAGTAAGTAAAATACGCACATAACATAACTTTTTTAGTGGGATAGAAATCTGACCGTCTTATTTTAACTTAGGTCATACCCATTCTCAATCTCCACTTATGGTATTTAGCCCTGTGGCTGATTTCCGTGTTGATCTACACAATAATACCCTATGATATTTTCCACAACATCTTTCTTTACTTTGGATCATATAATAGCGCATAAAACACATAACTTAAAACATTAAAAAGTGAAAACACAAAATAACTTGGCATTTAGAGAAATCCATACATATTCGTTAAATTCTTTATGTACTTGAGTTATTTAGGATTGAAAATTCTTACGAAACAGATCTCGAATGCGTCGAGAAAATTTTCTTTTCTTTTCTTTTTCCCCTCTCTCTGCCTGTACCGTTTAGTTTCCTTTCTCTTTATCTCTCTCTTCTTTCGTTCCTTTCTCTCTTTCTTTCACACTTTTTTCTTTTGTTTTCTTCTCTAAAATTGTGTGAATTAAAGTGTACAATAAGAAAGTATTTATAGGTGTGATAATGATAATGATCTACATATAATTTTAATAGAATTCTTAATTAGAATTTAAATTGGACTCTTAGCAAACAATTTTATCAAATAAAATTCTAATTACATGAGGATAAAATTCTAGTATAAATATGTTAAAACACTAAATTTATCTGAACACCCTTTTATCAAATAATTCAATATATAACCAAATATTAAATTCTAGTTTCATTAAAACTCTTATTTTCAAATTAAAAGTATGATAAAACTCTAAACATCTCTAAATACTTTCATATTAGATAATTTAATAGATATCTAAAATAATATTAAAATTTAATTTTATGTGAAACTCATACATATCAAATTTTCAAGAATATTAACATAAGATCCTAGAAAATGGTTAAGTTGCTAAGTCATCTTAAATTTCAAATGCCTCATAATATATTGTACGAATTTTTGGGGTATTACATCATTCCCTTCTTAAAAAAATTTCGTCATCGAAATTTACCTTGGTTATCAAAAAAGTTGTGGGTATTAAACTTTAATATCTACCTCATGTTCCCAAGTGGACTCTTCCACCGTGTGATTTCGCCACTGAACTTTTACCAATGGAATTTCTCTCTTCTGAAGTGTTCAAATCTTCCTATCCATATGACTATTGGAGCTTCCTCGTAAGTTAGATCTGGATGAATGTCTAGCGGTTTAGGATTAATTACGTGGCTAGGATCTGAAACATATTTTTGAAGCATATAGACATGAAAGACATTTTGTACTACTGAAAGTTCGGGAGACAATGCTAGCTCGTAAGCTACAGTTCCCACACATTTCAAAATCTTAAAAGGTCCAATGTATCTTGGTTAGATCTTTCCCCTTTTTCTAAATCGAATAATTCCCTTTATAGGAGCTATTTTTAGGAAAACTTTGCACCGACCTCGAACTTAAGATCCTTCCTATTGTATTTGCATAATTTTTCTGTCGGTCTTGGACAGTCTTTATTCTGGCCTAAATCTTTTCAATACCTTGGGCTATTCGCTTAATAATCTCATGCCCTAAAATTCTTCCCTCACCAATTTCATCCCAATGAGCTGGAGATCTGCACCTCCTACCATATAAAGCCCTATAAGGGGCCATTTCTATGGTAGTCTGAAAGCTATTATTATAAGCAAATTCTACCAATGGTAGATGCTTTTCCCAGCTTCCTCCAAGATCTAGGACACATGCTCGAAGCATGTCTTCAAGAATTTGAATGGTCTTATCTGACTGACCATCTGACCATGGGTGGAAAGTTGTATTAAAGTTTAGCTTACTCCTCATTGCCTTGTGCCTGCTTTTCCAAAATTTCGAGGTGAATCTTGGATCTCTGGCACAATTGAGACTGGGATCCTATGTAATTTGATCACTTATCTAATATATATAGCTGAGCTAATTGATCCATATTAAAAATCATATTTACTAGTAAGAAGTGAGCTGACTTTGTCAATCTATCAATAATAACCCAGATTGCATCATTTCCTTTATTTGATTTTGGAAAACCAATTACAAAATCCACGGCAATGTGCTCCCATTTCCATTTACGAATCTCTAGTGGGTTTAATAATCTTGACGATCTTTTATGTTCTGCTTTCACTTGCTGGAAAACCATGCAATTCTTTACAAATATGCCATTCCTCTTTTCATATTTCGCTATCAGAATATACTTTGGAGGTCTTTATACATTTTTGTTACTCCAGCATGTGTTGCATATGGGGGCAAAGAGAGCTCCTTTTGATATTCTTTTCGTATCTCCTAATCCTTTGGCACACACAATCTTTCTTTAAACATCAAGGTGTTATCTTTAGCTAGCTCAAAACCTTTTCGTTTGCCAGTGCCAACTTCACCTTTAATCTTTTGTAGAAATGGATCACTATCCTGAGCTTTCTTAATTCGATCTCGAATAGTAGGTTGAACTATGAGGGTAGCAATTCTTGCTGCAATATCTGCTGGAGGTAAGATCACCTCAAATCGTAAGTTATCTATATCTCTGATTAATGATTTCTGTGTAGTAGGTAAAGCTGTCAAACGTCCTGCTGTCTTTCTGCTTAATGCATTAGTAACTACATTGGCTTTTTCTGGATGATAATGAATGACACAATCAAAATCTTTGATTAATTCTAGCCATCTGCGTTGCCTCATGTTCAATTCCTTCTGGGTGAAGAAGTACTTTAGGCTCTTGTAGTTTGTATAAATATCACATTTAGTTCCGTAGAGGTAACGTTGCCATATTTTTATTGCATGAATTACTTATGCTAACTCCAAGTCGTGCGCCGGATAGTTTTCTTCATACGATTTCAATTATCTGGAAGCATATGTGATAACTTTACCATGCCGTATAAGTATGCATCCTAGACCTTGCTTAGATGCATCGGTGTAGTAACGGAGCCTTCTAACCCTTTGGGTATGGTCAAGACTGGAGCTGAGATCAATTTCTGTTTTAGTTCCTGAAAGCTTTATTTGCACATATCCGTCCATTGAAACTTCACGTTTTTCTCGTTAACTAGGTCATTGGGACGACAATATTTGAAAATCCTTCAATAAATCTCCTGTAGTAACCTGCTAATCCTAAGAAACCGTGGACTTCTCTAACATTTATTGGCCAAGACCAATTGATAATTGCTTCCACTTTACTCGGTCAACTTCAATTCCTTGGGCTGTGATTATGTGGCCAAAAAATTCCACTCTATTGACCTAAAATTCGCGTTTTTTAAATTTGACATAGAGCTTTTCCTTCCTCAATATTTCAAAAATAATCCTTAGATGTTTCGTATGTTCATGCTCACTCTTTGAATAGATTAATATATCATTGATGAAGACAATAACAAACTGATCTAGATAGTTGTGGAAAACTCGATTCGTGAGATTTATGAAGACCGCTAGTGCATTTGTCAAGCCAAAATGCATCACCAAGAACTCAAAGTGCCCACATCAAGTCCTGAATGCGGTCTTAGGAACGTCAGTTGATTTAATTTTCAACTGATGATAGCCTGATCTTAAATCAATTTTTTGAGAAAACCTTGACACCTTGTAGCTGGTCAAATAAGTCTTCAATTCTAGGAAGGGGATATTTATTTTTAATTGTAGTACAACACATCTCTCAATAATTGATACACATTTTCATCGATCTATCCTTCTTCTTTACGAACAATATTGGAGCTCCCCATGTTGAAACACTGGAATAAAATCCTTGTCTAGCAACTCCTGCAATTATACTTTTAATTCCTGAAATTCTATTGGTGCCATACGATAAAGGTCCTTTGAAATTGGCTTGGCACCCGGTACAGGTCAATAGTAAACTCGACCTTTCAGTTTGGAGCATTCCTGGTAAATCTTCTAGAAATACATTTGAAAAATTTGTAACCACTCGAACTTCGTTGATGATTAACTCTTTCTAATCAATGTTGGTCAAATACACTAAGGATCCTTGAGCAGACTTCTTTTTCAATAAGCATTCAGCTTGGACTGCTGATATAAGTCAGGGTAGAGGTCTCTTCCTTGTTCCAAAGAAATGAAATTCTTTTTCATCAGGTCGTTGAAAAATTACATCCTTCTCAAAACAACGAATGGTTGCATGATTTTTCGACAACTAGTCCATTCCAAGTATAATATCAAAATCTTTCATATCTAGGACTACTAAGTCAGTTTATATAATATTCCCATCCATTTCTAAATTTAGGTTCCTCGCTATATAATTTGCATTAAGCACCTTCCCAGATGGTAGTGATACTTCTAATATGTTATTAAGGGGTACACATTCTATATTCGACTTTGAAATGAATGTTGAAGAAATAAACGAGTATGTAGCTCCTGACCAATTAATATAAAGGTAGGCATATCAGAGATTGATATGATACCTGTCATTACATTGCAGTCGAGCTCTGCCTCTTCCTGTGTTAAAGCAAAAACTCTTGCCTTGCCTACCTTTTGATCTTCAGTCTTCTTAGGTTATACCTTAATGAAATCTTTCGCAACGTGTCCTGACTTGCCACATTTGTAACAGATACCTTTTCCTGCCAAGCATTCTCCCTTATGAGGTTTATGACTTTTAAGGCAAAGAGGACGTGGATTCTTGTCACGAATATTGGCATATGTTTTTGTCCTTCCCTTCTTGTTGGGACCTTTTCCATTCCTCTTATTATTATCATACCACTTGCGCTTATCTAAGGAGCTTGTCTCCTGCTTACTGCTTTCACCAATCTGGCCGTCATCAAAGACGTATACTTGAGCCTTCTCCAGAACTTCCTGATAAGTAACTAATTGGAATATTGCCACTGTTTTTTCTAATGCCTGTTCTCAGTCGATGCTCAAATTGTTGAGCTCATTCTCCCTTGTGTCCACCAACTATGTGGTAAATCTAGATAACTCCTCAAATTTTCACTTATAATCGGTAAGCATGATGTTTCCCTGCTTCAGCTCAAGAAACTTTCTTCTTGTCTCTTAAAGTAGTTAGAAAGTACTTCTGAAGTACTATCTTTTTGAACCGTGCTCATGTAAGGTTACACTGTTGCTCCTCTTTGTGGGATCTAGTAGTCATTTCCCACCAATGACCTGCTCCCTTCTCCATCATAAATACCGCACAAAGGATCTTTTGTGCATTAGTGTATTCGATAAATTTGAAGATACGCTCAAGATGGCGAAGCCATTCTTCAGCAGCCAGTGGATTGGGGCCACCTTCAAATACGGGTCGGTGCATCTTGCGAAATTGTTCTATAATTGAAGATGTTCCCGACTTGCTTTGTGGCTTTTGAGGTGGTTGATGCGACGATATCTCTCGTATAGCGGCCAGTAACTCTTGTGCTAAGTTAGTTGCCATCTAAACCTTAAATGTGGGGATCGTATATTAGATGCCATTCAAGTCAGTTTCACTATCTTGGTATAGCTGATGACGATAAAATAATGTTGTTTCTGTTCACTATATTTACATTGTTTCCACTAAGATTTGATTAAATGGACTTTACATTTTTTTTTTAATTTTTTTTAATTTTTTTTAATTTTTTGCATTTCTGAGCGTTTGCAATATTGTTTTTCATTTTATTGATTGAATAACACGCAACTGAAAGGTTTCCAAGTAAGGAAGGGGGTCACAAGTGGACTTCTTAAATTCTAGGCTTGCTTAAACAGTTTAGGTCTTTTTGACAAAGTCTTTCAGTCTTTTGAATAAGCAAATTAAGAAAACTCAAACAATAAGTTCTCCATTATTATTATTATTATTATTATTATTATTATTATTATTATTATTATTATTATTATTATTATTATTATTGTTGTTGTTTTTTTTTTGTCATTTGATTTGAAAATATTGATTTGGTGTCAATTTAGATGCACGTATGTAGTGCATAATTAAATATATCCACTCAAAAGATATACACATAACATAGATATTTCTACATGAAAATCATAAACATGTGATTTTGCAATTAGTGCTACATATAAAACAGTTTTATCAAATTTATTAAAATTTTGACATCCAACATCATAATTATAATTTTTTGCACAGTATAAAAAATCCAAAACTCATTAAACGGACATTTAAAGCTACTAAAATAATTTCATACCTTAGATCATCAATTAGAAGTTGATCATGCTGGTAGATGTCGTGTGGATCAAAATTTATTTAATTTTAACATATAAAGAAATATAAAATTTTAATTTTATAAGTCTGCGGGAAAGATTGACTGGCTCTAGTACCATGCTGTAATGCCTCGAAACTTATGCTCCGAAAGTTACTTAAATATTCGCTTTAACAATTATAAAAGTTGATCGACACATTGTAATATATAAAAAATTTGAAGAAACATTATGAAATAAACTAAACTATTTTATTGTATCATAAAAAGTCATATAAATTTGAACCACTGATGAAATATAAATGTAGCACTTATTTTTAAAAAATTCAACATTGATTTTGAAGAAAAAAATAAAATTTTAATTTGAACAAAACAAAATGTTTTCTAACTAAATACTAATTATTAAAAGAAAATCGTAAATTCTTGATCCAACAACATGGACTCTATCGGCAGTCTGAACCTCCAACCATTAAGCATCTGTAAAAATAATTTAGAATATGAAATGAGCATATGAATATACTCAGTATAGATTTGATGCCAGCATTTTTCACATTTTAATATAAAAAACAAGTAAAATACGCACATAATATAACTTTCTTAGTAGGATAGAGAACTGACCATCTCATTCTTACTTAGGACATACCTATTCTCAATCTCCAGTTAAGGTATTTAGCCTTGTGACTGGTTTTCGTGTAAATCTACATAATAATGCCCTATGATATTTTCCACAACATCTTTCTTTACTTTGAATAATATAATAGTGCATAAAACACATAACTTAAAACATTGAAAAGTGAAAACACAAAATCATGAGGCATTTAAAGAAATTCATACCTATTCGTTAAGTTTCTTGTGTACTTGAGCTATTTAGGATTGAAAATTTTTATGAACAAATCTCGAACGTGTCGAGAAAATTTTATTTTTCCTTTCCTTTTCTCTCTCTTTCTGCCGTTCTTTTCCTTTCTCTATCTTCCTTTTCTCTCTCTCTTCTTTTGTTCTTTTCTCTCTTTCTTCCACACGTTTTTCTTTTATTTTCTCTTTCCGCCTCTCTAAATTTGTTTGAATTAAAGTGCACAGGATATTTATAACAGCGATAATGATAATGAGCTACTTAGAATATTATAAAAATTTTAATTAGAATTTAAATTGGACTCTTCACAAACAATCTTATCAAGTAAAATTTTAATTACATGAGGATAAGATTTTAGTATAAATATGTTAAAACATTAAATTTATCGGAACACCCTTTTATCAAATAATTCAATATATATCCAAATATTAAATTCTAGTTTCATTTAAACTCTTATTTTTAAATTATAAGTATGATAAAACTCTATACTTGTCTAAATACTTTCATATCAGATAATTCAATAATAATTTAATAGATATCCCAAATAATATTAAAATTTAATTTCATGTGAAACTCTCTCTCTCTCTCTCACACACACACATCAAATTATCAAAATATTAATACAAGATTCTAGAAAATGATTAAGTTGCTAAGTCACTCTAAAATTTCAAAACGTGCAGTTATCCCTCATAATATATTGTACAAATTTTTGGGGTATTACAAAAAATTTGTGGAAACTTGCCAATCTAACGTAGAAAAATTAGAAGAATATAAACCACTTTATATATATAGGTCAAAATTGACACAAGATTTTGGATCTGAAGAGCATTAAAGTTCACATGCCCGCGCCGTTGTTCAACTAGCACAAGTCGGCTCAAGCTCCAATATGTTTATTCAAACTTCTAGAATTTTTTTTTTTGTACGTGCAGGTGACATCTTCTAGAATTGACAATTTGGCTATCAAAATTTACATTAAAAAAAAAAAAAAAAAGTTGCACTCCAACTTTGAGGGTCTCCACTGTTCTGCCCCTAAGACTTTGTGAAGGAGGTAAATCTCGAGATGTGTCCGAACAAGTTAGGGGACAAGAATTACCTGTATACTGCACTTACAAGAGGTCTAATTCTATATTTCAAGAATCGAACCCGTACACTGCGACTGTTAACAAGGCGTGAGATAACCGCACTCCTATTCTTTGCACTATTAAACTATGTCTCGGGGGGCCAAAATTTACATAGCTTAATAGTTGCTGCAATGCTGTTCAAATAGGTTGTGTCTGGTGAGAGTACGTTGATGAATACAAATTTCACGGTCCGTAGTTGGAGAATAAAATTTTATTTTGCGGTCAAAATAGATAAAGTTATGTGTAATTAAAGTGTTAATGCTTAGCCATACACGTCTTCTCCAAGATTTTGGCATAACAAGAAATTCTGGATCCATATAAATTAATCAAAAATCTAAAGCAACCACGTGTTCTTACAATATCCACAACTGGGAAAAATAAGACCACACATAAACTCGAGGATAAGAACCAATAACATGACAATATAACCTGTCATAACATTCAGTGCACTAAACGAACCAAACGCACCAAACGCTTCTGCTCCAATGGGGTGCGCCTCCTCCAAGAGAATCGATGTTTACCGTCCACCACCATCCAGCTTTGCCGTATTCAACGTCAATGCAATCGAAGAGCCGTGGCTCAAGATGGGTGATGAACATCACCAACAGGACGAAAAGCCCACGCACGTGCCACTTCCCATTCTTGACAAGCTTAAGGCCATTGAAGATGCTCCCGGTACGTGGGATGAGGTTAGCAAGGCACTGGAGGACATCAAGCCCACTTTCAACAGCCCACCCCCGCCAGCTTCCGCCATAACTAAAAGAACCAATAGTACACCACCAGCACAAGATAGCGAAGCTCCTAATGTAAAAGCACCAGGTAAGAGCTTTTCCTTTCACACACTTGAAGAGCTTGAAGCAAAAGTTTCATCAAAGCCCACCGAGTTAAAAGAGACCGAGCCCATGGGCACTGAGTTGAAGAAATTCCAATCAAACAAGACCGAACACGCGGAGTCACGAGTTGGGGCGATGTCGAACTCACTAAAAAACAACATATTCATAGTGAGAGACAGATTAGAGAGAGAAAAAGAGGGTAAAAGTTCAACCTTTGTCAAACGCGACCTATTAAGCGAGTTCGAAGAGAAATGTCCACCGGGCGGAGCCGACTCACTGGTTCTATACACCACCTCTTTGGGTGGCGTCCGTTCCACATTCGAAAACTGCAACAGAATCAGAACTATCCTCGAAACTCACAGAGTCGTGTTCGACGAACGTGACATCTCTTTACACGGAGAGTTTTTGAACGAGTTGAAAGAATTAGTCGGTGAAGGAGCGAGTGTTCCGAGGCTATTTGTGAAGGGGAAATACATAGGAGGTGTTGAAGAGGTGGTGAGTTTGAACGAGACGGGTAGACTAGGGAGGATACTGAGTTGGACACGAGTGGAGAGAGGAGTGGGTAGGTTGGGTTGTGAAGGGTGCGGTGGTGCAAGATTTGTGCCATGTTTGGATTGTGGAGGAAGTTGTAAGGTTTTGGTCGGGGATAAAAAAGAAAGGTGCCCACAGTGTAATGAGAATGGTTTGGTTCATTGTCCTATGTGTATTTGATTTTGTTGTTTTGTAATAAAACTATACATTGAAATTTTAATTTCAGCATTGCTACGCATGCATACATGGGAGAATGGGTCTATATATAGAGGTTGTTTGTTCCACATTATTTTCTCATTTGTAGAAGAATTCCGATCGGTAGTGGACCCCCATACAGTCGCAGTTGTTGACTTGCATCTCACAATTTCATGGAGGAATGTCCATCAACGACTATATTTCTCATTTTATGAAATAAAAAATGTGCCTTAAATAGCCTCATAATGCAGAAGTTACTATTTTACCTTTTTAAAAATGAGTGATAGAGAAATTTATATGAATCTGGGTTTGGTGGTCATTGGTGGATTTAACTTGTATATAAAATCATTTTAATTTTATATATTTGAGACGGAATTGTTACAGTTGGATTTGATACGAGCTATTCAACAGAACGTGCATAAATTAAGACAGATTGAGATTACAAATCCTCACCTCTTATAGTGTCATGGTAACATTTTCATATTGTATTCAGACGACTCAATATTTTCCATATGGTGCAACACACGCTACTTTCCAACAAGTAAAACAACAAATTAGTGTTAAATTTTCTAGTTATTATTGGAAAGAAAATAATTACTTATAGCATAAACACAATAAATGAGTTTAATCATAAACTACTTCTATATTTCTTGGATTTTTCTACTTGTGCTTGACTAGCTCTCTCCCTTATTTTCTTGCTTCTTCTCTTTACCTGAACAAGGCTTTCAACCCAACAACAGGTGTCCCCAGAGCTTATTTTTATGGATTCAGAATGCAGATTTTTCGGCAGTGATTCCTTAAGGTGTTGGTATATGTCACTGAAAACCATTCCCCCATCAGCATCAGAATGAGGCAACCTTAGCTTGGTCCAAATATCACTGTTTTCATTATCCAGTGATTTCCATAAGTCACAATCGTGTGAGAAACAATTTCTGTAAACCGACCAATTAGTCCAACACCGACAGTAGGAACAGAACTCCACAAGTCGGGGCATCTTGAAACCCTCTGGCAATGACACTGATCGTAACACCTCGGTTCTAAGACAGAGAACCAGAAGTGAAAACGTAGAATTTGGTTGCTTATCCTGCACAAGCCACTTCATAGAACCATCGGCAAAACTAGGCCGACTAACCCGAAAAATACTAATCAGTGGAATATTCTCAATCTTTTTCCAGCTATCCAATTTCAGGCTATAAACTTTGACTTCATAATCACCATTATAGTTATCCAAAACAAATCTCGCAACCTGGTGGTCATCCGTAACATTGTCATATCCGAATCCATAACTAAACGTATAATGTCTGTATTTTCTAGCCTCTAAGGCCTCAATCTCGACAGGGGTGAATGGTAGTATCCTGTGACTACCTATAGACGGATTCCACAAAACAATTTTTTCCCTGCAACTTTTCTGAAAGGTATATCGTAGACAAATTAGGAATCTGGAAGAGCCTATAATACTCACCCGGTCATTACAATGCTGAACAGGAGGCTTTATCTCTTGAACATCTGCAATTTTGAATCCAAAATCAAAGCTTATGACGTAGAATATAAAGCCGACAGGTACACGGTTGTCCTCTTTACGACGATGATATTTGCCAACAGCAAGCATCTTGCGAGATTTGATGTCATTTAACGATTTCTTCAGATGCAACTGGATGAGATATGAGCTATCAATAAGAGCGCACCATGATTTCGAGGCGCACTTGAATCGAACGAGACTGACCGCCGGTAACCTCGACAGCACATCAAGGAGTACGTCCTCTGGGATGACCGACATTGAATTACGATCACCGTAAACAAATTATAAAATCCTACAGTTTCGTTATACATATTTATACAGAGGCGTGCGAAAGACTTAAAATCCCAATTCTAATAGAATATATAGAAGGACAGAAAAGAACGAACTCTGAAGCTTGTCAAATATAAGCCTATGTATGTTTGAATACAATTTCAGTGAAAATTAAACACAAATTTTAACAACTTTATCACTCATTATATACACATGCACTATCATTCCTCTTTATAAGCCCCGTTTGAGTCCAATTATTTCTCATTACATTAAATTAAATTTTGTCTCTCTTACTTTTAATTACATAATTTTCAATAAAATAATATTACACATAAATCAAAAAATTTTCAACCACTCATTTTTCAAAAAAAATACTATTCATCCCATTATAATGCCAAATAATGGGACTGGAATTATTAAAAGGTAATCTCGTTAACTAATTCATCAGGGACGGGAAAGGAAAAGAAATCAGAGAGGGGATAGGAGAATTAGGTAGTATGCATTTTTTTTAATTGTTTATTTTTATATACTCGTAATATTTATGTTAGATATTTTCAAATTTAATTACTATTATCATCATAATAATAGGCCTTCTTTGTGCCCCATGATTTGGTAAAAAGGGATTTTGAAATAGTGATTTTTTAAGAGAAACATGCTGCACGTACAGGCCAGGCAACAAACATGAGAGGGTCATATTTCCCCTTATTTTATTTTTTAAGTGGGCCCCATTGCTACAGTGAGAAGCCTGTAAAGACCCTGTGAAGAACTGCCTTGTACATGCAGTTTTATTCTTTTTAAAAATATGTAGTTAAAAAATAAGAAATTTTTTTAGAGTTACGTGTAAAATTATTTTATTAAGATAATGTGTAATTGAAAATAAATTTAAAGAAAAATGTATTATTAAAAAATGGGATTCAAACAAGGGCTAAATATGCAACGAAGGTATATTAATAAGATTTAAAACTTTAATTTATGTTTTTATTCTCTTGAAATTTTGGATATATTTGTTCATTGTTAAACAAAATTGTCAATTTCTTTTAACCAAAACTCATATTAAGATGAAACCAATTTGCGTAAACAGAGAGAAAATTCTCTTTACAGTAAAAATAATATTCTTACTTTGTCAGATAATAAATTTCAAACAATCTAAAAGGACCAAAGATCAACTTTTGGGACTGCCTCTTGGACAAAAATTTAGCGAAGTTAAATAGATTTTTCATATAATTCACGTGAATTTCATTAAAAATGGTGAAATTTTAAAAGAGTTTGTCATATTATTTTTAAGCTTAAAATCCATTCAAACCTTTTAATAGCCTATTTATTATTGACTAATATATCTATTTATTCAATCCCCATCATCCGTACACCACACAACAGAGATCTAGATTGTCATCGTTGCAAAGGTGACCTGCCTTCCAAGCTCGAGCTCGACCTCTACCAATTCTTCCACATAGATCATTCTCCCACAGGGTTCAAGGTCGAGCATTGAAACCTGCATGCCATCAATTCTGATTCCCTAGACGCTAGAGACATAGCACTGTCTAGCCATAGTTTGGTTTCCTCGAACTACCCCTACTCCATTACTTGTTGGAAATTTTATGGCCAAGTGGAAAGTTGAGACAATAGCCTTTATCCCATTAAGTAGCGGCCTTCCAAGTATGGCATTGTAGGCCATTGGAGCTAGGACTACATGGAAAGTTATGACTTGTGTTAACTGCTTCCATTTTGATCCCAACGTTAGAGGTAATTCAGTAATGCCTTCCGATGTGATGACTCCACTGTCGAACCCATGAAGGGGGGGGGGGGCTCTAACCTGCTTGAGTTGTTTGGTTGATATATCCATTTGAAGGAATGTCTCATGGGACAATATATTGGTCACAACAGAGATCTAGATTGTCATCGTTGCAAAGGTGACCTGCCTTCCAAGCTCGAGCTCGACCTCTACCAATTCTTCCACATAGATCATTCTCCCACAGGGTTCAAGGTCGAGCATTGAAACCTGCATGCCATCAATTCTGATTCCCTAGACGCTAGAGACATAGCACTGTCTAGCCATAGTTTGGTTTCCTCGAACTACCCCTACTCCATTACTTGTTGGAAATTTTATGGCCAAGTGGAAAGTTGAGACAATAGCCTTTATCCCATTAAGTAGCGGCCTTCCAAGTATGGCATTGTAGGCCATTGGAGCTAGGACTACATGGAAAGTTATGACTTGTGTTAACTGCTTCCATTTTGATCCCAACGTTAGAGGTAATTCAGTAATGCCTTCCGATGTGATGACTCCACTGTCGAACCCATGAAGGGGGGGGGGGGGCTCTAACCTGCTTGAGTTGTTTGGTTGATATATCCATTTGAAGGAATGTCTCATGGGACAATATATTGGTGGCACTTACATTATCCACAAGAACTCTCTTTACTTCAAAGTTAGTGATGATTGTTGATATAACCAAGGCATCATCATGAGGAAATGACACTCCTTCTGCGTCACTTGTTCCGAAAGTTATGTCTTCCATTCTATCAAGGCCTATACTAGAAACTGATGGATACGGCCTAGCGTATAGTTTGAGTCCATTACTCGAGTCTCCTCCTGAGGCTGTACCTCCGACGATGATATTAATTATACTAGCTGTTGGTTGTTGATTTCCCCGATCTCCAATGGCTTGTCCTTATTCTGATTATTCCTCGTGTGCTTGTCATGGCTTATATAGGCGCCCAAAAATCCCCTCTTGATGAGAGCTTGGATTTCTCGCTTTAGAGCAAGGCAGCCCTCAGTTGTGTGCCCGTGGTCTCGATGAAACTCACAGTACTTGTTCCTGTCCCAGGACTCAAGAGGGGACTTCATCCTTGATGGCCATTTGAGTTCTTTCATATCTTTGATCTCCATCAAAATATTAGACATTGTTGCATTCGGCCGAGTAAAAATTGCTAAAGGGTTATCATGACTTGTCTTACCCCGAAGACAATCTTGATGCAAATTAAGCTCATGCAGCCTTTTATGCTCTTGCTTAGTTGACGGTGTGGCATCTTTCCTTGGGAACATAGTCTCTTCTATGTTGATGTACTTCTTAGCTCGGGAAAGTAGGTCGGTTACCAATGCTGGAGGGGTCTTTGATAGAGACATCTTGAACGCTTCACACCTTATAGCATGCGTTAAAGCTAAGACTACAACTATGATATGAAGGCCTGAGATCCGAAGTCTTTCCTTATTAAACCTTGTCATCAAATTGCAAAGTGTCTCATTCTACCCTTGGCGAAGCTGCATGAGGGAAGTTGCTGTTTTTCGGATGCACTTACTGCTGGCAAAGAAAGTAGAGAATTTGTCGGCTAGATCAGAGAATGAGGCTATGGAATTGGGCTCTAAGGTTGAGAACCAATCCGTGGTAGCGTTGGTCAATGTTTGAGGAAAAGCCTTACACATCACCTGGCTTGGGGCAACTTGTAGGTTCATGATGTCAGTGTAGATATTGAGATGATTGATAGGGTTGGTAGTTCCATCATGTTCTTTTATACGGGGGTATTTGAATTTGAACGATAAGGGAAATGATAATATCTCAGGAGTGAATAGTGTGTTAGTGGTAAAGCCTATTGTCTCCTTAGCTTTCTGTATTAGGCTTGTCGTGATTCCCTCTTGAATGATCTTGGCGAGTTCATAGACTCTATTATCACTTTCTCCGAGGCTAAGGTAGGATGGTAATTGGGCTCGTTGGCTTAGGTAGCTCGAGTCTGCCCAACTCGAGGCTCGGAAGAACCAAGCCAAGGGTCGGGTTGAGTCTCATTTTGGGGTGTCGGACAAAGCCCAAGCCGAGCTGTGTGACTCGTCGGCTCGGGTTTACAAGCCTATATTTATAAATAAAAAATAAAAAATAATATTTTAAAGGCAACAGCACGCTGCCTATTTTAGGCAGCTGGCATGTTTATAGGAAAAAAAATTCAGCAAAACACTGAGCCTGCCTGACTCGACTTGGGAAAGCTCGGGTCGTGCCCATTTTTTTGGCCGAGTTTTTACTTGGCTCGGCAAAGCTCGATCATTTTACTTGAGCCGAGCTCGAGCCTAAAATTTCGGCTCGCGAGCCGAGCTCGGCTCGACTCGTTTACATCCCTAGGCCAAGGCCATATGGGTACACCTGAGGTTCCAACCCCATCATCGTTACGAAAGGGCTGTGGGGCCCAAGCCCCGAGCTCTTTGAATGCTTCGACGGTAACAACGACATGCTAAGGTACTGGCATCTTTGATGATTCTTCTTGAGGGAGAAGATGATCTTCAGAGGGAGAAGGATAGCTCGGACGGATGAGCTTGCTGGGGGAAGACGTAATCTTGTGTTCACCATGGCTTTTGGCAGCGGTTCCCATAGACGACGCCATTGATGCTACCAAAAATCATACTCGGTAGATCTCCCAAACTTGAGGACTGAGAAAGAGTATGAACAGAACCTTTCAATACTTGAAACAAAGGAAAGAATGTGTGTTCTCATCACCCCTTCGATACTAGTCAAAAAGGAAATTTATATAAGAACGTATACTGAAATTGTCTGTAAAAACGTACCTTAGCAATGAGCTTTGGTTATGCATTTATAGATGTTAGTGGTAGAGTTGCAAAAGGATTCAACTACCTATAGCCCTTATCCTTATCATGTAAAGTGTTTGTGTTATAATGAAAGTATTTTGTCTGAGCTTTAGTCAAACTGTGATAAATAAGTGATTTGGATGAAGATAAATGTCATAAAGAGGTGTAGGCAAAGTGAGATTGACGTTTTTGGAGCCCGACCTCAATCCTTGGGGTATAGGCCCGACCTTAACATAAAGCCCGACCTTATGCTTGATTAAATGTGTGGGAGAAGATTGAGCTATATAGTTCGAGATAGGGGCTTCAAATCCAAGCTTGAGCTCGCTTATGGGAGCCCGATGTCAATGATGTTGTGGCCCACGGGAGAGTGTGACGTGCCCGACCATATGAACTCGAGGATATTCAAGCCACAGAAGAGTGCTCAAGGTTATCATGACCTCGAGCAT